TGATTTCCCAAACTGTGTGGGGTGCAGGCTGGTGTGCTAAGCACCCGCCACAATACCAGCTGAACTGAACAAGCCAATTTCTCTGTTCTTTGCTCTTACTAAGAATGAACAAACGGGGGCACCTGGGTGGCACAGTGGGCTAAGCATCGGACTCTTGGTTTCAGCTCAGGTTGTGATCTCAGGGTCATGAGATCAAGCCCCCCCACTGCCACTTCCATTGGCATCTGTGCTCAGTGTGGAGTCTGCTTAAGATTCTCTTCTCCCTCTGCGCTGCCCACCAACACTCGCTTGCTCTCTCTCTCTCTCTCAAATAAGTAAATATATCCAAAAAAAAAAAAAATGGAATGGATAAATATTTCCCAGAAGAAGAAAAAGCCCAGAATCTTGTCATAGGATTAAATGAACCTAATGTATGCTAAGTTATTGATCTGCTGGTTTGTGAAAACACTGCACACTTGGTATCACTGTTACACTTGTCATTGAAATGTCATTGAAATGTCCATTTTATTTGAAATCCAGTGAAGGGAAATTAAGCAATAAGGAGTATTTAAATTTCTTTTTAGTTCTAGTGGATGATCTCCTTTAAATACCATTAAAAAATAATAAATGAAGCAGTATTGGGAGTTAGAAGTCCTAGGTTAAGGCCCAGGGTTGCCTCTGTGTAACAGGAGATCAGTCACTTACTCTTGCTAAATGTGTCTTTGTTGTTTTGTCTGCAAAATGAAGAGGATTATTACCTGCTACACTTAAGTAAGTTCCTGAGTGATAAGTATACCCAGTCCCTGGTTACCCTGTAATCTCCAAGGCTGGGCTTTTCTAATCAATAAGCTTCAAGATCCTCAAATATTTCCCTGACACAGCTAAATCGCCCCACTCCATAGAAGAGCATACTTGAAGATTGAAGGGACTATCTGGCACTTTATATATTTTTTAAAATTTTTATATAGAATATATATTCCTTTGTGTGTTTTTTTTTTAAATTGGGGGGATTTTTTTATGCCTTTTATTTCATTTTTTTTTTTAATTTTAAACAAGATAAAATAGGGTATCCTGGGTGGCTCAGTTGATTGAGCATCTGACTCTTGGTTTCGGCTTGGGTAATGATATCAGGGTCCTGGGTTTGAGCCCCGGCAAGGTGGGCAGGTGACCACTGGGCTCCTTTCTCAGCTCAGGGAGGAGTCGGCTTCTCTTCCTCTTTTTCCTGCCCCTCCCCTCACTCACGGCTGCATGCGCTCTCTCTCTAAAATAAATATATCTTTAAAAAAAAATAAGATAAAATAAAAAGTGAAAAGTACACATTCCTAGCTTCTAAACCTACCTACCAGAGACAACCACAATGAACACTATGCTCTGTATTTTAAGAATTTTATCGATGCTTACTGTATTCGTTTGGGTAGGCTAATAACTGTAAGAAATAGACAAAAATAAAACTCTGTAACAGCCCTAAGGGAACTGAAGGTTATTTCTTGCTCATGGGACAGTACTGGGTAGAGGGGCAGGCGGGCAGGCAGGTCGGTGCTCGTCCATGCAGTCACTCAGGGACCCAGGCTGCTGATCCAGGGGCCCTGCCATCCTCAACTCTTGTTCATACTCACTCCGGGGGACAGCTCTATGCCAACCTGCCATGCTGGAATTATATACATGTTTTCTTTCTCTTGGTGTTCCCAGCGTCCTGGCAACATGGCTAGCCTCCTGCACTCTTGGGCTGTCATGGCTTAACTCAGAATTGTGCGATTCAAGTTCACCCTCCCACGCAGGCTTGGAACTTACTCAAATTTGGACCCCTTTTTCACCCTTTTCCTCCTTTCAGAGGTTTGTGAGTGCTACTCCTCTCTGCTTTCCATCATTGAAAAGGTTATACCAGCTGCATTCACTTCTGACATCTGTCTCCATTTAGCTAAGGTAGCAGTTCATGCCCCCTCCCCTTCTGTACTTCAGCAGAGATTTTGTTTTTCTGGGTTTGAGATATAATTGACATGTAACACTGTGTAAGGTTAAGGTGTACAAGGTGTTGGTCTGACACACTTATATTACTGCAAAATGATTACTACCGTAACATTAGCTAACACTTCCATCCTGTCACATTTCTTTTTTGTGGTAAAGACACTTAAGATCTCTCTTAGCAACTTTCAAGGATGTAACACAGTATTCTTATTATATTATTAGCTATAATCACCATGCTGTACATCAGACCCCCAGAATTTGTTCGTCTTATAAATGGATGTATGCTTTGACCCCATCCCTCCCCAGCCCCTAGAAACCACCACTCTACTTTCTATTTCTCTGAGCTTGGCTTTTTTAGATTCCACATATAAGTGAGGTCATACAGTATTTCTCTTTCTCTCAGGAGGGATTTTTTTTTTTTTTTTAAGTCACTTGTGAGCATGAGCAGCTGACTATCTTCTTACCTCAGAAAGCGGCTTCTTTTCCTTGAAGTTTTCTTGCGGTAACTCTTGCCTATCTTAGATTTCCCCTAAGAAATCCACCTCTTTTTTGTTTCCCCTCTCCCCGAAGCCTCTCTCACCTCTTTCAACCATGTAGGTTGCAGCCTGCGTTAGTCAGCTGGAACCCACAGCAGTTTCTCATTTCTCGTTCGCTACCTCTAAAGCTGCTTCGGCTGGCTGCCTTTCACTGTGACATTCTCTTGGGCCACTCTTTCAAGTCCGGCTTGTTCATGCAGCAGTCTGCCAGACCACAAGCCACACTCAGTTTCCAAACTCTCCTAACTAGTTTATATTTGATGGACAGCAGTTCAAACCCTTCTCCCCACATGGAAAGCTCTGGTGAGGAGTTTATTGCTCAACATGCAGAGAGAGGGCACCTCAACTCGGCAGTGTCTAAAAGTATCTTAGAGGGGCAAGGTGGGAACAGCTATGGGATTGTGCAATAAGGTAGCCAACCATACCAGTTTACCCAGGACAGACAGAGCTCCAGAAATACAGGGCTTTTAGTTTCAAACCAGGACAAAATTTTAAATCTACTTTAAAGTGGTTCTTTCCATGCAGGAGCTTGATTTTGAGGTGAGGGATTCTAAGGGTCTTGGGATATAAACTGTCGATGCTTTCTGTTGAAGCATGGATGTGTCTTTCAAGAGATTCCAGTAAAGAACAATAAAGTTAGCTGGGCAAAAATTATGCTAATGAAGACAATGGACCAGTAAGTTTATATTAATAAGACAGTAAGTTGAGGTGGAGGCAAGATAGTTTCTTTTCTTCTTATTATTTTATTTTTGAGAAAGCAAGTGCATGAGCAGGGGCGTGGGGGGGTGGGGTGCAGGGGCAGAGGGAGAGGGAGAGAGAGAGAATTTAAGCAGACTCCAGGCCCAGGGCTGAGTCCGACATAGGCCTTGATCTCACAACCCTGAGATCATGACCTGAGCCGAAATCAGGAGTCCAACACTTAACCAACTGAGCCATCCAGGTGCCCCAATAGTTTCTGATTCTATCCTCTCTCAAGATCTGTTTCATACTCCACATCCTTAGTCAAACACCACACCCAGTGTTTTGTTTTTTTGATTTTGTGTGAACACTGCAGCACCCTAGCCTCAAGTCTCTGATGTCTATTCTAGCTTTCATTCCACTCAGGAGAATAACTATTGTTATAATAAAACTGTTGTTCATAAAGCCTTCACTGTGTGCTAGGCTACATGTCAAACCCTTTATAGACATTATTTCATTTTCACAAGAGTCCTATGAAGATGTGCTATTATTATCCCTATTTTATAGATGAGGGAATGATGGCTCAGAGAGGTCAAGACACTTGCCCAAGGTTATGTAGCCAGAAAGAAGAGGTAGAGTCAACATTGGATCTCAGTTCCACCTGACCATTCAGCAATAAAAAGGAGCAAACTACTACTATGTACTACAATGTGTATGAACTTCACAGACATCACGCTAAGTGAAAGAAGCCAAATAAAGAAGATTACGTATTTGCAATTTCAGTTATATGAAATGTCCAGATAGGGCAAATTCAGAGGTAGAAAGCAGGTCCATGGTTCCTAGGCATGGGGGAGGGCTGGGAATTAACTGCAAATGGGCAAATGGGGTTTTGTCATTGAGAGAAATGTTCTAAAACTGGGGTGTGATGATGGTTGCACAGTTCTATAAATTTACTAAAAAATACCTCATTGTATACCAGGAGTACATGAATTTTATGAAAATTCTCCTTCAGTAAAACCATTTTTAAAGGTCCAGGGCCAGATCCTAAGTCTTCTAGTTGTTACTATCCGCAAGTGGATGCAGGTTCCTTTAGCCTTAGGTGCCATCCCTAAGGGAAAAGGATACAGGTGTTACTGGGTTCTTCTGTCCTCTACATATAAGCATAGAGAGTGCCTTTAAACTCTTTCAACCAATCTATATGTGTTGAATACCTTCCATTTTACCGATGAGAACCTCTTTCTCACAGTCATGAACTTCACTAATGCTAACTGTACATTTTGATCGGCTTGTAAATAACCCTAAGTATATAAGTTGCTGACATACATGATATCATACTGGTATAGAAAAATCAACTCAAGTGAACTGTTAAGACTCACTACATCCACTATCTCTGAAATAGCAATTGACAGAGGAAGCTCACTGCCCTTACTGCCTTGCTATCATCCATCATTTAGTCTGCTCAGCTTCCCGCTCCAGGGCCAGGATACATGCTGTTGTTAATAATAAAGATATCTGTTCTCAACAAACCATTAGAGGGACTTTTCTTGTCTATTTAAATATAAAAAGTTGGGGGGGTGGGAAAGGTTGTGAGACTACAATTAAGAGAAAGGTCACCCATACATTCAAATGGACTGGAACTAAGTCAGTGATGGGGAGGGCTGAATATAGCCTGTGTGTCCCTGGGAGGAGTTTGCTGCCTGCCGATGGGACTGATTCCCAGCAGAAACAGTCCCTGGGGCCCCGCATCATGAACATTTGTTAAACCTGATTCACATTATTTTAACTTTGGTAAGAACAGAAATGGATGTATTATGGTGAATGTGTTTCCTATAATGCTTACAGAGAGATTCGGAACACCAGAAGCTTAACTTCCATAGACCCTGATGCCCTAAAAGAGCTCCCTCTCTTGAAGTTCCTGTAAGTATTAACACCTATCCCATCCTACCTTTTTTTTATGAGAGAATTATAATGCTGTTGTCTGCCAGGAGTCTCCCTAGGATGATGTGGGCCAAGGTCATTTTAGTGGTATATGGCCTGAGACAAATCACATTCTGCGACTTACTCCCCACCCTTTCCCATCAGAAAAGGTATCAGGTGAAATGATTCACATTTGAAAAACCTATTTAAAAGTCAGCACATAAGGCTGGGACCAAAGACCTGATCTTTGAGGGAGACACGAGGGAGAAAATACCATGATGTGTACATAGTCTTTAAATGGAGTGTAACAACAAAACAAAAAACTCTGGGAGTCCATTGGTTAATTTTATTAGGAAATGGGTTTCACAACAATATTAAAGTGACTGTTACACAGGGGAAAAAAAGCCACAAAGGGCAAAATCCAAACTCTTAGAGGTTGGGGGGACAAAAATGGAAAAGACAACACTATCGCTTTGCTTTGGTGACACATTATGAGCTAACTATAAACTCCCTGACAGCAGGAACCACAGCACTTGACTCTCTATTGCATCTATACAGCCTGGCACAGAGTAGGTGCTCAATAAAAACGTGTTCAATGGATGTGTATATATGGCCTCAGGTCCTCTAAGCACCAGCTGGAAGAACCCGCCCCTTCTTCCCTTCTTTCCTGCTCACAGGCATTGTAAAAGATTAGAACACAAAAACATTATGAGAGGAAACAATTAAAATCAACCTTTATCCCAAGACCCAGAAATAATCATTATTAACATATTAGTTTGTTTCCATCTAGGGCTTTTAAATAAAAGTAGACATCCATATATATTTTATGAATTAAGTCTTTAAGGATGAATAGAAGTTATCCAGGAAAAGAAGAGGGAGAGGTAGAAGAAAAATACAGGTGAAGGGACTAGCATGATAAAGACACAAAGGTGTGGAACCGTATGGCTCATTTGGGGCCCTAAAAATAGTTCAGTATTAAAGAGGTGGGAGTGGGAGATGGCAGGGAGAATAGAAGAGGATAGTGATGGGAAATGTTGCTGGAGGGGTATCTGGGAAGTAATAAAAATTTATGGGACAAGGCAATCACTCCTGTGTGGACCTTGAGTTTCAGTCAATCAGTAATTCTTTGATACGATGATCCCTTAATATGTGCGGGGCTCTGTGGGGAACCTGCAAGATAATAAAACATTGTCCTTACCTTCAAGAAGCTTAAAATCTAGGGGCGCCTGGGTGGCTCAGTCGTTAAGCGTCTGCCTTCGGCTCAGGTCATGATCCCAGGGTCCTGGGATCGAGCCCCGCATCAGGCTCCCTGCTCAGCGGGAAGCCTGCTTCTCCCTCTCCCACTCCCCCTGCTTGTGTTCCTCCTCTCACTGTGTCTCCCTCTGTCAAATAAATAAATAAAATCTTTAAAAAAAAAAAAAAGCTTAAAATCTAGTTGGGAAGATATTATATATAAAATTAAAAAGTTCCTCTCCCACTGGAAAATAATGATAAGTGATAAATAAGAGGTACATACATTATTTGGGGGTACAGTTAATTAGAGGACACATCAAAAAGGAGATGGATTTGTTTGGGGTTTTGAAGAAAAGAGAGGTCCTGGTCCCTAATCTGGCATTTCCAGCCCCACTATATGGTCCCCACTTAACTCCAGGGCCTCCCCCCACCAGACATACTTCCACATGAACCTCTCTTGCAATCGACTAGTTTGTTCACTGTTTCCTGTTCTTCGAATATCCTTTATGGAATCTCCACTCTCTCCTTTGCTACCTGGTCGCTGGTGGTCTAGTGGTTAGGATTCGGTGCTCTCCTTTGCTATCTGGAATATCCCATTTGCTCTTTGTGAGACCTCTGGCTCCTGTTTTCTCTTCAAATCTTATGTTTTGCCCTCTAAAAGAGCCAGGCCAGAATTTGCCTAAAAAGGTATATCAATGGAACCAGAGTGTTCTCTGTGGGAAGACTTTCTTTAAAGCTTTACTGGTAGTGTCGAAGTCTCACCCCATGCCATGCCATGCCTCTCAAAAAAAAAAAAAAAAATCCCATTTCCACTACCTACTTTCTAGTAGCTGCAACAAATGTTAAATTAACCAGGAGCCTGAGAGTGGCTATATTTGTGCTGTTTGATGTACATCTTTTAGTCTTGACATTTTGCCCTGATGACACAAACTTTGGAAAGTGAAGACATTGTCTTTGATTGACTTTATCCCTTGTCTAGACATATTTTCTAAATGGCACTGCTGCTGTCCTACTCCCAGGTGACTGCCAGGGGAAAATAATTCTTGCCAAAATAATGAGCACAATATAATGTGAAGGTTGAAAGAGGAAGCCTGGCTTGGAGCTGGGTATTATATTGTCTTACTGCCCCATCCTCCCCTATTCCACTGCCCCTCCCCCATAATGCCCTCCAATTAAAACAGGGAAATATCACACACACACACGCACACATGGAAAGAAACCTAAATTCCTATTTCTAGGAAGCCTACTTGGTTGAAACAATCCTCATATTCTTCTAAACAGAAAAAAAAAAAATGTACTGACACTGGTGGACAGAATTAGATTCTTGTACCTTGAGGGAGCAACCTCTCATCCAAGGGTTAGGACTTGCCCATGGTCACTCAGATATTTAATGAAGGAGTTAGGATTTGACTCTAGTCTGACTTCAGAACCCATAAAAATTCAGTTAGTACATTATTCTACTTCCTATGTGTTGGATTTCTTACCTTATATCTGCTCTCTCTTCTTTTTCATGCACTATAGTGGCATTTTCAACACTGGACTTGGAGTATTCCCTGACCTGACCAAAGTTTATTCCACTGATGTCTTTTTTATACTGTAAGTATGCACACATGCAATATTTGGCAGCATTTTGTCACTGACAAAACATTGGACATGCTCTCTGGCCTACTAAAGGTTTCAGAGAGTTAAATAAGAGGACTGCCTTATGGTATGGTACTCTAATCGATGACAAAATGGTTTAAGTAACAAGAAAAGTATTCAAACACTAACAAGAAGTAGGGTGCAGCCATAGGGGTTGGTTGAAACCAAGTGAAGCAATCGTCCCAAGGGGAAGCATTGATCAGCTGTGACACTGGTAGATGAAGTAAGGCAGAGACTGAGAAATGACCATTGGGTTTAGTAATATGGGGCTTTCATGATTCTGACAAGAGCAGTTCCAATGGAGCTCTAGGGTGAAGTCTGGTTGGGGTTGGCTCAAGAAAGAATCAGAAGGGAAGACTTAGAGAGAGTGACCATTACAAACTCATTGGAGAAGTTTTACTATTAAAAAAGTGCAGAAAATGTCTCAGTAGTTGGAGGATACTGGGTCGGGAGAAAAGGTTTCTTTTTCTTGTTTGTTGTTGTTTGATGGGACAAATTATGGCATGTTTGTTTGCTGATGGGAGTGATCAAGTAGAAGGAAAATTTGATGATAATGATGATACTTTATTTTCCACATAATTTTTAATAGCTTTTCAAACACATACATTATCATGTTTGTTACTCTTGACCACCTTAGAAGGCATAAAAGTTAACATTTTTTTTCCATTCTATAAATAAAGAAAAAGAGGAATAGAAAACCTAAGTGATTTTGTCTGAGCAGAGTCCCAAGGAGTAGGAACGAGTGGTGTTCAAACTACTTCCTATGGCTTCTGATTGGCGGCCATGTGCCCTTTTCCAAAACCTGTGACACGGTCAAGTGTCTTACCTAGTTGTATAGAAGTAAACCGACTCAGGCAGCATTACAGGGTGAGTTTGCACCACAGAGTCAGCATAATGTAGAGTGATCAGATCTGAACTCTCGGGATTTTGCCAGAAGAAAAAAATTGACCATGCTTCTTTGCTGCTGAAGAGCTCAGTTCAAAATGTAGGCAGTTTTCTAGTAACTAGACTGGCACAGAAAGTTCTCCAGGAGCATCTGCCTGGCAGTGGTTTGCAAGTAGAGGACATTTCAGTAATACTCATAAGAAGAAAGCCACTGATCTCATTCTACCAGCTCTTTTTGGAGGTTCCAAACACTTAGAAAACTCTAGTTGCTATGGACCAAGTATTTGTCACAGATTTACAGACGTCTCTAAGGCCCACCTGCTCCCCTTGCAAATCAGGATTTAGTCAGGGACTTCAGCCCACACCCAACGCTCACTGGCTTATGCACATTTGAGAGGCTGTGAGTGCGAGTCCCCCTATGACAGCTCTCCACCTCACCAAACCTCTGAGCCACCAGCAGCTATGAAGGGTCAACAAAACTTAAAAATAAACTTAAAAATAAACTAAATTGCATCAGGTTTTTTTTTTTAAGATTCTTATTTATTTATTTATTTATTTAAGAGCGAGAGAACGAGTGGTGGGGAGGGGCAGAGGGAGAGAGAGAAGCAGACTCCCGCTGAGCAGGGAGCCTGATGCAGGGCTCGATCCCAGGACCCTGAGATCATGACCCGAGCCAAAGGCAGCTGCTTAACCAACTGAGCCACCCAGGCGCCCTGGGTTAGGTAATTTATTTGAGTGCAGAGGTGGAGCAAGAAGAGCCCAACTCCAGAAGGAAATCATTTATTTTCACCAAGCGTTTTTGTCCCTCTCTTGCAGGGAAATCACAGACAACCCTTACATGACTTCCATCCCTGCCAACGCTTTCCAGGGGCTGTGCAATGAAACCCTGACACTGTGAGTACTGCCCCTTGCACTCCTGCCAACAATCGGAATGTTATTGGGACCACTGTCATATTTTCACAGCCCCTCCAAGAAACATCCTACAGGACATGCTCTCTGGCCTACTAAAGGTTTCAGAGAGTTAAATAAGAGGACTGCCTTATGGTATGGTACTCTAATCGATGACAAAATGGTTTAAGTAACAAGATAAGTATTCCCTTATAGAAATGGTCAGCACACTTGATCTAGAGAAGACCATTAGGTCTTACAGACCACATGGCCTTTGTGGCAACTGCTTACTTCTGCCATTGTAGGTAAAGGGCAGCCATATGCAATACATAAACTAGGGAGCCTGTTTTTCCAATCAAATTTAATTTACAAAAACAAGTAGTGGACCAGATTTGACCTGCAGACCTTGTAATATACTGTATTCTAGTACCCCCATTGTATAGAAGAAGAACCTGGGGTTAGAGCGGTGACTTTTCCAAGGTCACTGAATTAGAAAATGGTGCAACTAAGAGCTTCTCATGCTCTTTGCACTCACAAGCAACTCGGTCATCACAACTATTATGAAGTTCCTACAAAGCCATATTGAACAGAAAACAGAGTTGCTCTACATCATTATTTTTCAGAGTTCGAATGGATTCTGCTCTTTAGATGTTCAAAAGGAGATGTTTATCAGAGAAGTTCATAAAATGTTCTAATAAAGAAGTCTAGTAGAGGTATAAAAGATAAGTTAATTCTCCAAACCGGTAGAGAACTCCCCTCTCTCATCAAATTAGCCACAAACTAGAGTTGTCCAAAGGATCCCTTCTCTCTAGCTTCAGTACCACTGCCCAAGCTCAGGCCTTATGGCTTTTTTGCCTGGATTGTCACCCAGATCCCTTTCTCTGTTCACACTACAGTCCAGGGTTTCTTTATCAGATACGAACTTGATTGGATTATTCCCCAGTAAAATTGACCCAAGCATCCCCACAACTCTTGCAAGGAGCTGCTTCCAAGCCAACCTAAGTCTATCAATCTAGGTCCTATGAAACTGCCTCAACTTCTGAGTCTCTATCCACAGTGGAGCATTTCGGTTCATCCCTCTCCTTGAAACATGGGGAGAGGTCTTTTTGAAAAGACGAGAGACTCTTCTGGGCCACCATTCCATTTGACGACACAGCAAAAACCTGTAGTCTTAGCCTGCTCAGTCTCAAACCTCAAAGCCATTTGCCTCCTCTGTAAAGGTTTCCATTGTGCCATTTAACCACTCATTGCATGTAAACTCCTTTCTCAGTTTCTTTACTTTCACCTTCTGGCATTTTTTTCTAAGGACCCCATGTCCCCAGGAGCCCTCTCAAGTGAAAGCAGCTCCCTGTCCCACTGAGCACAGGGCACAGTAGGTATTTAATAAACATCTGAATGAGGGAATCCTATGCTTCCTGAAATCGAGAGTTGGGGATGGCATTATCTTTTCAGATGATTAGTTTTACATTCCTGCAAAAGTCCTTGCTTCTTTGAAGCTCGTGCTCAAAAAACTGCATGAGAGGGTATGTGTCCAACAATGAATTTGTACCCGTATTCCTGGCAGGAGAGTATTTCAATCAAAGTTTGCAATCCTTTTTTTTTTCTTCTTCACTATTTTTTTCTTCCTTCATTATTTTCCCTTTCTAAGGCCTATTTGTCTATTAAGAGTTTTGCTTAATCTCTGAAATGTAATTCCAACAAAGAATATTTTCACTGTCTAGGACTCTTAACAAAGTTTGGGAAAACAGAAATCCCAAATGTATAATTCTCACACATACATAAAAGAACTCTGGTTCAGAAAAATTAACTTATCTCTCAGAGCTTTCTTCACCCCTGTGCACTGCAGTCCTCACCCAGGACACAGCAGTAGCTGAAATTAAACTCATTGTGTCATTATTTAAAACAAAATAAAAAATAACAACAAACAAAGATTACTCTCAGTTTTCCACAACAACAGAGAATAAATCCAAGTTTTGGGGATATTCTTTTCAACATGGTCATCTTATAAGTGTCCCACACTGATAAATATATAGCTATTTGATTAGGTATTATTATCATATTCTTACAGATAAGAAAACTGAGGACAATAGAGGTTGAGAAATTCTCAGGATCCACATACTATGAAGTGACAGAGACAGGTCTAATTCCAAATTTAGAATCTCTTGTATACTTCCTAATGTGTCACCAGAGTTGACAGGTGGTGGACTACAGTCATTTTCAGAGTTCCCCTACAATTGCCCCTAGCTATACTTGACTGTGATATGGCTGCCTTCTCTTATAGCACGCCAGTAGCCCCCATGCATCCTCATGGAAACCAGAGCTCCCACAACCAGGGTTCCTTCTCCTTTGGGTGGGTGGGAAGAATCACTTCTGAGGTCAGAAATCCTGATTCCCAACAGGTCCGCAGCAATGTGGCTTTCTTTGGCAAGTCACCTCCACCTCTCAGGAGCTTGACTAGGAAACAGAGGAGATGACACTAGCCCCAGGAATCACTGCATGAATTAATTAGTTGCAGAAACATAGAAACAATTTAAAACATCAAAATTTCCATAAAAGGGCATGGTCTATCTATTTTCTTAGATTTGTCTTTGAAGTTCAACTTAATTCAGCCCACAACCATTAAGCATTTAATCTATGATAGCCCTGAGGATAAAAATTTGGATAAAATACAAGTGTGACATAATATTTTAAACAGAAAAATATAAAACCTACGCATTCAGATGAGCAATGTCTTTAAATATGTTCATCTTAAGAAACTGAAGTTATTCCTCCATTATTGACATTGGGTTAACTATTACCTGAAACCCTTCTTTTTTCAATATAGGTAGAATATTTTTTTAAAAATTCTTAATGGTGGCAAATCTTTCCTTCTCAAAATGAATGGCTTCTGAGAAACAGCTTGAAATTACTAGGAGCTGTATGGAAAAAGGGGATTCAAACTGGGAAATATTCTATGTTCCAAGCAAGACGTATCATAAAGTTCTCTTGTGGGACCTGAGAACCTTCATGCACATTTCTGACACTGCAGAAATGAAGCCCAACCATCACCTCTTATGGGTCACTGATTTCTCCTCCCTCTCTTGATTGTAGGAAACTATACAACAATGGCTTTACTTCAATTCAAGGACATGCTTTCAATGGGACAAAGCTGGATGCTGTGTAAGTCAAGGGTAGCCTTGGAAACCACTGTCTTCCTCCACACTCCCACCCCCATCCAATGAGGGAACATTCAATGGGTCAGAATTCTGTTAGAGCTGGGTTTACCAGAGCATTCCTCAACCCCAGAATGAGTATGCCCAAAACGTGGGGATGATATTAAGGAACTTGGCAAGAGCCAACTTTAGCGAACACTTACAATGGCCCCAATTCTAAATCCCAAAGCTTTTATCCTTGATAAAATGGAGAACCATGGTGTCACCTTCAGTTTCCTTGTAGGAGTATGTGTGTGTATGTAAATGTTCATGAAGTACACTGTATATGTACATGAAGTAAAGCATGTCTTTAATTAAATCCAAAGCTGTTCAGAAAGTAAGGTTTTTCTTTTTAGTTTCTCTGACATGTTTTCAGAAAGATTTAGTTTATATTTGATTCACTCAGAAATAGCTGAAAAGTCATATCCAACTTTTTCCAGCCCCCATTAATAAATAATGCCTAGAATAGAATGTTGGCAAAAAGATAGTCACTTACATGAGGTCCTGTCTTTGTTGTACTTTTCCTGTCAGATCTTTGTGGCCCCCAGTATCTACACCAGGGCATACTTTGTGTCTAAGAGCTTGTGGACTGGTTCAGCCATACTAATTTGTGTTTTAACTTAATATCTAATAAGTGAAAAAATAGCTTTAGTAGAGTCTGCTTCCCACACTGTGGTAGACTAGTTAATTTGTAGGGCCTTCCTACTATAAAACAACTAGATCACCCATTTAAAAAAAATTACATTTTATGTCATACCTCCAAGAGAGGGAAATAAACTAACAAACCAGGAGCTGAAACTAAAGTGGTAGTGCTTCCAGAAGGTTGAGTTTGCTAAAGGCAGCTGCCAACATCAGTGATGCCAGAAGACAAGGCTTTAGTGCAGTGAGAAGACAGGGAAGTGATATAAACCTGAGACTCCTGGATTAAGCCAGGGAAACTGGACGACAGCTGGAGTGGGATGACCATATTAGTACCTTCTGATTCCTGGCAGAAATAAATGCAAAACTCTGCAGAGGGAAAAATACCAATGCAGGCCCCCAGCTTTTTTAAAGATCTAGATCAATCAAATATGAGCTCACAGTCAAAAATCACACATAGGAGAAGAAAAAACCACCATGGTAAGAGTCCGCTAGACCAACAAACAACAGATTTTTGTGTTTGTTTTATAACATATCACTGAATATTTTTTAACAATTATATTTTTTTCATTCCATAATTTCTATTTGCTTTTTCAAAAAATTTGCTTGCTCATTTTTGACAGTCTTATTGCTAACTCACTTTTGTGATTCCATCTTTTTTTTTTCCCCCTTTAAACATTTCATACATAGTTATTTTATATTCCAGAAGTGGTCATCACAAAATCTGAAGGCCTATGGTTCTGGATCTGTTGTGTTGTACAGTGCTTCTCAAAATTTATTGAACATATAAGCCATCTGGGATCTTATTAAAATACAGAATCTGATTAAGTAGATCTGAAGTGGCCCCAGGAGTCTGCATTTCTAACAGGCTCCCAGGCAATGATGCTGCTGCTGATCCGTGGACCACACTAAAGCTGGGTGAGGTGAATGACCTGCACAACCATATGCAGGGGACTTGGATGCAAACAAACAAAACACATGTAGATGAAGTGGTCTTGTTCTGATTTGGGAATGAGGTGGTGGGTTCTGGTATGATTCCATTTTTAAAGAATAAATGCTAATAAGTTTTGAAATCATTAGACCTTGGCATGGCTTTCCGAGTTCTGTTTGAAATGCAGTCTCATTCTTTGCCAGGCTTTTGGGTTTCCTCATAGTCTTTATCAAATAGAAATTAAAGTGCCTTTCTCTAAATTGTCTCATTCAGATTATTAGTCATTTTTTTAAATGCATAATTATAGGGGAAGTCTGAAAAGACTCAACAGAGTGATGACATGAATACTTACACATCAGTTTTATTTAACTTTATCATACAAATCTCACATAATCCTTCATCCATTTTTCCACATTTTTATTGAACACCTACAATGAGCCAGGTACCGTGCTATTCACTGGTGCTACAAAGATGAACAGGAGCAATGTGCTCCCTGCCTACACTGAGCTTGCATTCTAGTGGCGTCAGCTTGAGGGCAGCAATATTAAGGGTCAAAGTACATTAGAGAGAAATGAACCAAATCCAAAATATGCATTTAAGATTGAAAATAACTACACACTAAATATCCAATAACACTGGCCTCCTTACTTGGAGATACAAGCATGATTTCCCCTGGATTTATCATGTTTTTTTTTTAATTACTAATATTCAACTTTAATATTACATGCATCTAACCAAATATTTTCCTCTTTGATTCAACTATTCCTATAAAGCCATGGACTTAAGGGCAATAATCTTCCCCAGTCAAATTTTCTGTGAAGAAAGTAGAGAATTGAGACTTCTTAAAATAATTAAGACAATTTGCATATACTGCATTGGAGGGTCTCACCCTCAATCACTCTCAGTTATCATTTTTTAAGGACAGCGATATGGGGTATATAATTCAGCCTTTGAGGTCTACACAGCATATTTCTCAGTACTGACTGAAAATTGAAATCACCTGGAGAGATTTGAAAGCACTGATGCCTAGGTTTTACCACCAGACATTCTGGTATAATTGGTTTAGGTGTAGCAAGGGCATGGGGATTAAAAAGTCTCTGTCGGTGCAGCCAGTGTAAAGCAAAAGTCAAAAACCAACCACTCCCTACAACCTACAACCCAGCAATTGCACTACTAGAGATTTATCCAAAGGATACAAAAATAGTGATTCAAAGGGGCACTTGCACCCCAATGTTTATAGCAGCAATGTCCACCATAGCCAAAATAGGAAAGAGCCCAGATGTTCATCAACAGATGAATTGATAAAGAAGATATGGTATATATACATACACACACACACACACACACAATGAAATATGACTCAGTCATCAAAAAGAATGAAATCTTGCCATTTGCAATGACATGGATGGAGCTAGAGGGTATTATGCTAAATGAAATAAGTCAGAGAAAGATAAATACCATATGATTTCACTCATATGTGGAATTTAAGAAACATAACAGATGACCATAGGGGAAGGGAAAAATAAACTAAGATGAAAATTGAAAGGGAGGCAAACCATAAGAGACCCTGAACTCTAGAAAATAAGCTGGAGGTTGCTGGAGGAGAGGTGGGTGGGGGAAAGTGATAATTGGGTGATGGACATTAATGAGGGCACTTGATGTAATGAGCACTGGGTGTGATATGCAATTGATAAGTCACTAAATTCTACCTCTGAAACTAATAAAAACAAAACACAAACAAAATAAAAAGTCAAGAACCACTGCTGTGAAGTATCAGTTATCAAGAAGACTCTTGTCCAATAGTCACATTTTGCATATGAAGGGAATGAAGCCCAAAGTGAACACAGGGCTTTTTTTTTTTTTTCCCTTAACATGACTTTTAAAATTTGATAGAACTAGCTAGTGGCCAAGCCAAAGCCAGGACTGGGATCCCCTTGTTCAAGACTCTTCACTATGCTCTGCTGGGATTCATCATTGCTGACTTAGCAGCCACCACCAAGGCTTGGACATCCAATTCCTCTGGCTACTGCTGCTTATTAACCCATGAGAATGGGCTAGGAACACTAAGCTAAGAACACTTCTATACTTATGTAAGAAGATTCTCTCTACCTTCCCACCCTCTTTCTCCTCTGACCATATCATGGGCTCTGTGAGAGGCTTGGCAGATGACAGAGAATTATTCCACTGGAGACAATGGATTTTAATTCACCGGTTCCCTGAATCACAGCCTTTTGTAGTCACTGTAACCATCCCTCTAAACATAGAAAAGAAATTAGTGCACCATAGTCTCCATACTTTCTTGACCTTTTTATGTAAAACATTAAAGTTTTTGGAAGGATTTAACAAAACGGGAAATATTTAAGTGAGAATCATTTGTTTCTTGACTTTTAGAAGTCTAGATTGAAGATCAGCAGGCATTTTTGGAAAGGGCCAGATGAATATTTTGGGCCTTGTGGGCCATATGATCTCAGTGGCAGCTACTCAGCTCTGCCATTATAATGTGACAGCAGCCAGACAATGGGTAAACAAATAAGTGTGACTGTGTTCCAATAAAACTTTATTTACAAAAACAGGTGGCAGGCAAGATTTGACCAGGTGATCATAGTTTGTGGACCTCTGTTCTCAATGGGGGTATTCAGTGAGGATGACCATTGTGTGATGAAATATGTAGTCTATTTCTCCCAATTCCTGGTAAAGGTCAAAGGCAAGTATGGGATAAAGATAAGTATCTGGACAAAAATATTTTAGGGTTTGAAAGTTCAGATCCAATCATAATAGAAAACAAGGATCTTGTTTTTCCAATTAGTATTTTGAATCCAAACTTGAAACTGTGTTCTAAAGCAATGTTCTGTCATTCTGCCCTAAGTTTCTGATTCCTGGTTGATGGAAACTTATTTTTTCTTAGAGTTAAGCACTTCAGTAAAAAGTATGTAAATCCAAGGTAAAATCAAATGATGATGGTGCTAAGGATGTTTGAGACTACAGGAAGATCAGGGTTGAGTAGCAGATGGAGAAAACAGAGGTCACATTTCCACAGTAATAATGAAAGAGTATTCACTTCGTGATTTTAACATAGGGCTAATGTCTCTGGTCTCAATGCTAATTGTGATCTTAAACTAATGTAACACATCAATATCCTATAATGATTCTGTTTGTGTACAAAGATTATACATAGCATGTTAGCAATTTGGTAAATTCTCTAGAAGTATGTTCAAATATCTTTAGGTTCTAATTTAAACAATGTGTTATCCTCCAAAAGAGCAATGATTCCCCATCATCCACCCCCTGTCAATTTACTGAAATTAGCAGAGGTAACCTCATTTAGACATTTTTTTAGTGTAACTGAAGCCAAGTTGGACAAATTCCACACTGAGAACAAGCACTGATGCCTCAGCAGCAGTTGGGTAATTAGTTAAAAGTTCATGAATATTATGGCAGATGTGTAAAAGCACATGGTCCTGTGATTTCATATGGAACCAAGCACACTGTCATCACTCAGATGTGAAATTAATAATAATAATACAAGCATCTCTTGCTCAGCAGAAGTTGAACTGCTCCCAGTCATAAGCGAAGTCACACATTCATTCCTTGGAACCTCTTTTCCATCTTCTCTTTCCCCACAATCTGGCATGGGGATATGTTGCTCATCTCAGAATGTTTGATTGCCTGTATTGTATTTTCTATTGTCAAACACTGGTAACTAGCTACTATCTGACAGTAAACATTTGGGCAGGAAAAAATACCATTTTGATCTGCTAAGAACATACCAAAACCCTAATTATTATGAACAGAGAAGTCAACACGATTCATGTGCTAATTAGCATCACACATTAGCTGATTAGAAGCAAAACACCACAGCTTGGAGCACTGGGACAAGATGACGATAGAGAAGATTATGGGATGAAGCAGGCTATTACTTCTCATGGAGTCTTTGAACGGCTTATCGAATATGCTCCAAGGCTGACTTTTACCTCTGTTGAAACCTTGAGCATTTTCTCACCTGTTACTGTTTACAGACAGGTCTCCTGATTTCTGCTACCAAAAGGATTTCCATGGAGCAATGAGGGCTAGGCAGGGGTTCCCTTTAATTCTTCCAAATAACCAATGCTATGAGGGCGAAACATGGTTCCTTACAGAAGTGTTCCCATGAGTCTCACAACGTAAACAGGTGCCAGCCCAGGTTTACCCCAAAGGGACTAGGGAAATGCAGGCTGAAATTCCATCTTGGAGCTGAAATATATCCCAAAACTCCCCAGAGAGCAAAGCTCAGCAGCAATCACAACTTTCCTTGCCATAATGTCCTTCTCCTCCCTCTGACATCAGTCACTTCCTCACCTAAACATAATACAGAGGGCGCCCCTAGCTAGGAGTTAGTTACCCAGCAACTGGACTTGGATTTAATCATCTAGCAAGTTTTTACTGAATGGCTGCTATTTACCAAGAGTAAGTCCAATGAAGGATGTGAGCTACAATATTGTATCTACCATACTAAGTTCATCCATTGGATATTCTTTCCCAACTCAGTTCTGACCATCCTCATTTTTCTGACCACATTGTTCTTCCTTAACTGTGAGATATACAGCACAAACAGCGTAAAGGCATTGAACACACACGTACCAGTGTCTATATTATTTTTAAAGGAAATGCTATTTCTTTCTCATACGCCCTTCACAGTATTTGTATTTAGAAATCCTGGCTTTCTAGAAGTCTTTCCTTTCAACTCTGACTCCAAGACTTTATACTGTATATTAAGTTCATTTATGTCTGCCATGTCCTTGCAAAAGATAGTTTAAATGATCACATACCCCACCCCTATAAAATAAGGATTGTCTGGAGTAGCTTACCCATAGATCCTACCAAGATTTGTGATTTATTTACCCAAGCTGGTTTATAGAATGTGGATTCTAGGGGAATCAGCCTAAGTCAGGGTGGGGGAATCAGCCTAAGTCAGGTTGAAGAAATCAGTCTAAGTAGACTGACATTTCCAGGTAACATTATATGATAAATGGGGATGACAGAAGCACTTTTTTCTTGGATATTAAGGATTTTATGGATATATGGCCCCATCCCATCCTCTTAGCTTCAAATGGAAAGTAGGATCAGCAATCTGAACCCAAGGTAAAAAGCTTCATGGAATTATCACAATCTGTGATAATAAGCAAGCCCTCCAAACTGCTACACATGGAGTGATAGTTTTATTTTTGAGCACCTAATTATCTCTAAGAGATAAAGTACTCAACAACCCTGCTGGTTTTAGAGAACACAACCTCGCCCAAGATCCAGTTCATCTCCGTTCAAGCTGGCTGCGCCCTCTCTCCATCCTCCTTCTTCCCCCTGGACTCTGGCTGGCTTTCTCAGTTTTAAATCTTCTGCAGCGTTTCTGGTAAACTGCAATGCTTATCAACCATTCTCCTTATCCTTGGGGGCGTATTGAATATCAGATGAAAACACTACAGAATTGGACAAGCAATTATTTAGTTTTACAATAATTTCTAATGATTAGAGCAAGCCGATTTTCACTTGCAGCAGTCTGAGATGAAGAGGAAAAAGTGAGATGAGCTCACCGATCCTCACTTGATTTTCAGCAGTCTGGGAACAGAATGTGATCTGCAAGTTGCATGGTCCAAAGAATACAAAAAGAGATGCAAGCTAGTGCCACACTTATGCTTAGCTTAGTTGTCTTTTTACAAAAGCATGCTGTTCAAGATCTTCTCTCCTGTTGTTTCTCCAAGGTGGTTTTTGCCCGCTCTAGCTATCCCTGACCAAAGGAATTCCATGGACACTGTGGGTTGAGGGACAGTCAAACAGTGACCAAAGAAGCCTGTGATTGACAGCCTTACATGATCGTCATTCAACCTGAAGGCACAGATGAGCTCCTGTAGCATCTTAGTTGGGTCTTTGTATATATATGGGATTAATGGAATCCCACCATTTCAGATTTACCAATTTCCTAGAAGCTTAATGTCCAGTCACTGCCTGAAAAAGCCACATCTGGGCCATACCCTGTGGCATTTATAATCAGCTGCCTTGTCACTGCCATCAAGAAAGTCAATGGGCCACCACATCGTATGTTGAGTCTTCTCTTCTTTCATTATTACTTTTTCCTTAAAGCGATCGCATGTGTCACCCACCTCACTATTTTGGAAGAGAGGTACACGGATTTTTTTATTCACTCATTTACACATTCATTCTCTGTAATCTTATCTGTGTAACCTGCCCCCCCAAAATAGGATTGTCAGAGAAAATATAGGCCATCCCATTACATTTGAATTTCAGATAAACAACAGATAACTCTTTAGTACAAGAATGTTTCAAAATTACATGGGGAATACTTATGCTAAAAATTATTCATTGTTTTTCTGGGCATCTTGTATTTTTATTGCTAAATCAGGCAACCCTGCCCTGAAGAAAAGATCTGAGTCTCTGACAGTCTTCATTACAGATACTGCATTTTACAAATTGAAGAATTGCGGTGACCCTGGATCAAACAGCTCTCTTGGTGCCATTTTCCCAAACAGCATTTGCTTGCTTCATGTTTCTGTGTCACATTTTGATAATTCTCACAACATTGCAAACTCTTTCACTATTATTACATTTAAATTCCTGCAATCTCATGATAAAACTTGAATGGATGAGGAGTGGTTTCTTATGGGTGAGCAGTGGTTTCTTGAGATGGACTCTATACCTGGAGAAGATGCTGTGAAGATTGTTGAAATGACAACAAAGGATTTAGAATATGATATAAATTTAGTTGATAAACCAGAGGCGAGGTTTGAGAGGACTGACCCCAACTTTGAAAGTTCTGTGGGTAAAATGGTATCAAACAGCATCACATGCTACAGAGAAATCGTTCTTGAAAAGAAGAGTCAATCAGTGTATCAAACTTCACTGCTGTCTTATTTTAAGAAATTGCCATATCCACCCTGACCTTCAGCAGCCACCACCCTGATCAGTCAGCAGCTGTCAACACTGAGGCAAGATCCTCCACCAGCAAAGAGATTATGATTTGCTGTAAGCTCGATGATGGTTAGCACTTTTTAGCGATAAAGTGTTTTTAAATTAAGGTATGTACATTGGTTTTTTAGACATATTGCTATTGTATGCTTAAAAGACTGCAATATATAGTGTAAACATAACTTTTCTATGCGCTGGGAAACCAAAAAATTTATTTGACTCACTTAATTGTGGCGGTCTGGAACCAAACCTGCATATCTCTGAGGTATGCCTGCAAATAGGGAACTACGCGACTTTTATAAAATCTAGATATGCAAACTGTATCATAAACGTGCTCACTTCCAAAGACATCTGCTATAATTAATATGTATAAACCTTGCACAACTATAACCTAGAATGTTTTGAGTGCTTAAGCCAGAAGAAGGTAAGGTGTTTTAGAGATTCTTAAAAACCAGTTAATAGGGGCGCCTGGGTGGTTCAGTGGGTTAGGCCTCTGACTCTTTTTTTTTTAAAAGATTTTATTTATTTATTTGACAGAGAGAGACAGTGAGAGAGGGAACACAAGCAGGGGGAGTGGGAGGGGGAGAAGCAGGCTTCCCACCTAGCAGGGAGCCCGATGCAGGGCTTGATCCCAGGACCCCGGGATCATGACCTGAGCTGAAGGCAGATGCTCAACCATCTGAGCCACCCAGGTACCCCAAGCCTCTGACTCTTGATTTCAGCTCAGATCATGATCTCATGGTCATGGAATTGAGAACCGCATCAGGCTTCATGCTTGGTGGGGAGTCTGCTTGAGATTCTCTCTCTCCCCTCCCTCCCCCTTTGCCCCGTCCCTACTTGCCCTCTCTCTCTCTCTCTCTCTAAAATAAATAAATAAATCTTAAAAAAAAAAAAAGCAGTTAATAGCTAGGGAGATCATGCTCACATTTAATTTTGGTATTTATATTAATTTGCCTAATCTCACCTGATTCATTCTCTCTCTCCCTCTCTCTCTCTCTAGTTACCTGAACAAGAATAAATACTTGACAGCTATTGACAAAGATGCATTTGGAGGAGTGCACAGTGGACCAACCTTGCTGTGAGTAAGACATACAAAAGAACATCAGTCTTTGTTTTATTTTATTTAGAATGAAGGGGGTCACTAAGAGGAGCAGCTGATGTTCATGGGTAGGGAATGTTGATGTCTTGGCTAAAGACTTGGCTAAAGACTTAGCTCCTCCTATATAGGCTACTGCTTAGAAGAAAGTCCTTGTTCTTTGAGACTCAGAAGGTCTCCCACTCCACCATGCCATCCTGGTGCTTCATCAGGAAATCACCTTGGTGTGGACATTCATGGAGGCCCTCTTGTGGGAAAAAAACCAGATATTTTTGAGCAGCTGCCATTTGCAGAATTCTGAGACACGAGATCTACAAATAGGTGGAAGGCATTCTATGCAGGGAAAAATGTGTGTGAATGTGCATTGCACAATGCCTGGCATGAAAAAGGAAGAGTATAAATAGTTTGATTCTTATCTGGTAAAACTTACCATCACTGGAAAAGATGGGACATAATTATTTTTTAAAACAGCATGAAAAGATGTCTACTTGTGCATTTCTCTGATTTGCATCCCCACAGCTAATAGGTAATCAAGTTCTGTCAATTCTGTCTCTCTCAAGTATCTTTATTAGTGCCATCTTTCCCATCCCCTGGTTTTACCTTTTTTTTTTTTTAAAGATTTTATTTATTTATTTGAGACAGAGAGAATGAGAGACAGAGAGCATGAGAGGGAGGAGGGTCAGAGGGAGAAGCAGACTCCCCGCTGAGCAGGGAGCCCGATGCGGGACTCGATCCCGGGACTCCAGGATCATGACCTGAGCCGAAGGCAGTCGCTCAACCAACTGAGCCACCCAGGCGCCCCCCCTGGTTTTACCTTTGTTTAGAATCTCACCATTGAGCATCTATCTGGTCAAGCCTTTGCCAAAGCAAAACACAGCACCCCAGGAGAAATACAAGATAATCCATTAGAGGCAAGAAGAAATATTAGAGATTCTATTTATACTTAAGTTTTTAAAAATAAGAACAAATTAAGTTTTGCTACTATTTTATACACAGATGACTGAGGTCCCTCAGGTGTCAGATAGGGAATGGAGGCATCCCCAGGGAACAGGGGGTGATCTACAGTTCAAAGACTTAACATCTGCAACTTTCACTTTTAACAATTGTACCTCCCTTTCAGATTGAATGCACCTAGTTAAGTGAATTCATGGTCTTATTTTCTTAACAGATAGACTGCATGTGAGAGGGCAGAGTGACCCTGAAAACCTACTGTATCACATGGGGATTCTTTGTTAACTCATGGCAAAACTCTTACAAGCATTATGCTTTTTTCTTTCCACAAAAACAGAAGTGAAAAAAATGTGTTGACCTTTTCTGTGATTTTTTTTTAACCTCAAAGATACTTTTAAAGACAACTTTAACTGCTCCTTCAAGATAAAGGTGATATTTCACTAATGAATGTTGTTTTTCTGAAGAAATTTGTGCTTTAGAAAGGGCCTTTAAAAACAGGTATTTAAAAACATTTCCATCTTATGTGATTTTCCTGACAAGAATGGTGAATGTCACTCATGAAAATTATGTTTTGTTAAAACCAGAAAGTGAATTTTGCCCTGTTGAAAAATAATTCAAATTAATAACTGAAGTGAGTCTAAAATCCATGTTTATAAAATATGAAAATGAAACACCTTTAAGTTAGTGTACAAAGACAACTGATTGACATCTGAGAATATGAATTTCAATAAAAACATGTATTTAAGTCCTGAATTGGATTAACAGATGAGAATCTTAACTTAGTAAGTACAGCCAAGTCTGCCTTATTCCATGTGGAACCATCTGTCTTTGTGAGGTAACTTTTTCATTGACAGCCATTTAAACCAAAGCCAAAATAAACTAAACCAGAAGCAGACCTCTGGAATAGCTATATCAGAAAGGGTTAAACAGCAATTTTCGAAATTAGTGAAGTATATTTAATTACACTGCTTTCACTTTAGTGAAATTTTTAAAAAATATTGTTTATTTATTTTTATCTTATCCTTTTAAAATGTATGCTTAGTGTTTTTATAATGTATATAACATGTATTACAGTAATATGTGTGTAAAGCTCATAAATGTATGCATGTTAAAGGCACATACTCAAACATTTTTTACTTGTGAATATGTGACATTGGAAGAATTTAAAGACCAATGATGAAGACCACAACCATTCAAATTGGGGATCTGCTACAAGGTGAATGGCTGGCCCCAGATTTTACAAAAAATTACAGCTTCCTTTATGAGAAAATCTTCCCATGAGAGCAAAGTTGCTCCAACTAACCAGTGTGCTTCATGAAGTCGCTGGCTTGCCTTATACTGTAAGCTTCTTACTTTTGTCAAGGACTCATAAGAATAAGTTAGCCAGGGGGCACCATGCTTTGAGTAGCACTAGTCTAGATGACAAGAGCCCCCAAATTTCCCTTTGCCTTCTATGTTGGTCCCTCTCAATTTCATCCTCCCCAAACCTCTGTGTGTTAAAATACATAGGATCTTAACATGCAATGCTGGTCTCCCATATACTTCAGGATAAAGACCTTGGTGTGGCATGCAAGCCTCTTTTATAATCTTCAGGTTTGTCTCTCACATCCTATACACCCCTGACCAATGATCCATCCATATTAGCTCCCCTAACGCTCCAACCTCCATATGTGGCCATGTTAAATTCTTGTTTTTCATACTGCTTGAAAAATCCTATCACAACCTTATCTGTCTGATGAGCACTTACTCTTACTACCACTTTGACATTCAAGCAAAAATCTCCTCTCTGAAGTCATTCTTGACCCTTCTTCTCCTTAGGCAAAGATAAACATTTCTTCTTCTATACTCCACTACCTTTATGTATGCATCTCAAAGCACCAGTAACATGTTTCTGTCTATCTCTCCAGGAGCTCCTATAGGGCAGGATTATGTCTGTTTTATTTCTACAGTTCTACTTCATCTTACAATGCCTGAAACACAGTGCTAGCTTAATAAATGTTCGCAAAATCAATACGGTATACAATAAATATTTGAATCACTCTTCTGTAAATGCTATAGTGTTTAAATAGCAGTCACAGGATGAGACACCTGTGACACTTCCAAGCAGTGATGTCTACAGATGTGAAAGTAACAAGAGAGATCAGGGCTAGAGATGTATTTGAGATGCTTTGGAATGTAGGTGGTAATGGGAGATGTGAATATGGAGGAAATCTTAACAAATGGATAGTATGGAGACTTGGGATAACCCTCCGCACCGAAGTAATTTTCCCTGGTCCTTCCTTAAACATTAAAATGGGAGTACTTTATGAAAAAAGAGCATAAATTAAAAAGCATAAATTCTCAATGACAAAGTGAGTGGAATAAGTCACAGAAGAGTAAGTGGTCTTGAAAAACCAAGAGAGAACTGCATGCTAACTATGCTGATTCAAAAATCACTAAATCTAGGAAATATTTCATCAATTAAATCTTAAGTATTCTGCAGGTGGGGGTCTAGGCGACATTGAAGTTGGAAGTAAAAAAAAAACAAACAAACAAACTTCACCTGTTCCCCTAGGTTTCCTCTCCCACCCTGCACAGGTGAGCAACTACGTTTTATCAACCCCAGAAGAAAACCAGAGTTTACTTTCTGTTAAAATGTCATCACCACAGTTGAAGAATAATAGGCACATTAGAGGGTAGAAGTGAAGCACTGTCTGCAAACAGGATTATGTGAAAGTTTACATACTAAAATGCAAGACCAACAAGTTTCTTACCCACTCAACTCACACAATACTGTCATCAAAGTTAATACCTTCCAGATAGGAGATTACGGTTCTGAGGAGGCTGACAATCCCAAGGAAAGAAAAAACCTACAAAAATGCTCATTGATATTTCCCCAAAGACACTGAAGTGAAGCCCATCAGGCAACAAACCAACACACAGAGAGCTTTCCATAAGCCTCCCCCACAAACATGAACATGTATCCAAGGATCCCCAAATCTTAGGGGAAAGCTGTTGACATGAAAAACAGAGACTAGAACAGAAAAGGGAACTTTAAAGGAATAGAGATAAGGCAAGAAACAGAAAACTTTAATAAAAAATTATAACAAATACGCTCAGCGAGATAGTTTTTCATCCATAACTTAACTTCTTATATAGTAATATTCTGAAAACAAGAAGAAGCTTATGACTCCTAGAATAAAACATAGGGAGAACTTTCTTGACATAGGCCTTAGCGATGATTTTTTAGATATGACACCAGAAGCACAAGCAACAAAAGCAAAAATAATCTCGTGGGACTACATTAAGTCAAGAGGCTTCTACACAGCAAAAGAAACACTCAGCAAAATGAAAAGGCAACCTACAAAATAGAAAAAATTTTTGCAAATCATGTCTAATAAGAGGTTAAAACCTCTTATATAAGGAACTCTTACAAATCAATGAAAATAAATAAATAATCCAATTGAAAAATGGGTAAAGAACGTGAACAGGCATATTTCCAAAGCTACAAGTAAAAGGCAATTTCCAGTTACAAGCTGAATAAGTTTTGGGGCCATAAAATGGCCAATAGGTACATTAAAAGGTGTTCAACATCACTAACCATTAGGAAAATGCAAATCAAAACCATGAGATGTCACCCCACACATGTTAGAATGGCTATTATCAAAGAGAGAAAAGAAAACAAGTGTTGACAAGGAAACGAAGAAAAGGAACACTTGCGTGCTATTGGTAGGAATATAAACTGCATAGCTATTATGAAGAATAGTACAGAAGTTCCTCAAAAAATTAAAATTAGAACTCTCATATGATCCAGCAATTCCATTTCTGGGTGTATATCCAAAGGAAATGAAATCACTACATTGAAGAGATATCTGCATTGCCATGTTCATTGCAGCATTATTACAAGAAGTAAAACATGGAAACAAGCTAAGTGTTCATCAATGAATGAAGAAAAGATATATATATATATAACGGAACATGACTCAGTTGTGAGAAATCCTGCCATTTGAGACAACATAGACGAACCTTAAGGCCATTATGCTAAGTGAAAT